GAAAAAAGTCAGAATTCTGAGATTAAAGTCAGAATTCTGAGAAAAAAGTCAGAATTCTGAGATTAAAGTCAGAATTCTGAGAAAAAAGTCAGAATTCTGAGATTAAAGTCAGAATTCTGAGAAAAAGTCAGAATTCTGACTTTTTTCCAATACTAAATTGAAATAAAATTTTAAAATCAGTAAACTTTTTTTTTTTTCCAGTGGCCCTAATCCTCTACAGTAGTTAATATTTGGATTCTCATTCAAATATTTTCGTCATTCTTACCTTTTTTTCCATTTTATAATTTCAAGAAAAAAACGCCTTATGATTAAATAAAATGCAACCGTTCAAAGCGACTGTTGATGAGATGATGGAACTATTTTATTTTAATTTATTTGATATGGTTGTAATTATCTTGAGTTGAATAAATAATACTTTATTGTACAGATGGTATAATTATTTTAATTCTTTCTGCTCCTTTCCATTCAGGATTTCACCTGCAGGGGTTTTGTTATGTTGTTTTCTCTTTCATGAATAAAAAATAAAGAAATAATAACTTAAACAAATCAATACATTCAGTCATGCTTTCTAAAGTGATGAATAAAGGCATTCTGAATCTAATGTGTGTTTGATCTATTTTATTTTATGAGAATTGGTGAATTATGGTTTTTATTTTAGTAGCTTTATCAATTTTGACACCAAGATGGAAAGTAATCTGTTAGGATTTACTAAGCAGCATGGGCTTTATAAAAAAAAACAACTCACCACTCGCAGAGCAATTTTGCCTTCAATACAGGCAGCATACTCTCCAAATATCCCCACAGCCGCCATAATAGAGCCCAGAGTTACCAGGAAGTAAACAGCTGATCAGGGAGAAAACAGGAAATAATTTTAATCTAATGCAAATTTTTCAGATACTGAGAGGCTCCATGTTTATTGCTGACTTATTTACCAACCTTTGTTAAAAACCTTTAACTCAATGGCTTCTTTGTCGTCGGTGTCGGATGTCAGGTCAGAAACATCACTGGTGTTGTCATGGTAACTCAGCCACAAACCGAGCACCAATGATGTAAACCCTGCTACCTGCAAAATAATCAAATAAAATAAGGTAAATCATCTAATTTGACATCTTTGGGTCTCAAAAAACTAGACCATCATCAGAATCTCAACTTTTATCAGATACAGTTTAATTATAGTAACTTAACTAATGGAAATAGAAATTTAAAGCATGAATTTTGAACCAACATGGCTGATAGAAAATCTATTATGTCTCTAAGAAGGAGTTGATTTTAAAGAGGATTTTTACACTAAACTGTCAAGGAGGTGATTTCTGGCACATAAAAGTTCTGTATCCTAGTTATTAATGGAAAGTTGTGTGAAAGGAAAACTCTTATGGCTTTTAGAAAGGTGCGTTCTGTCCTTTGAGCTTCCGCTAAACTCTGGGGCATCAATTTCTAAATGAAATGTAAAGTTTATTTGCATCTGAAAGTCAAACCACAGCCCTCTGAACAATAGACCACTCTTTGGTTCAGAGATGACTCCAAACGGACATCTGTAGCTCATCTGTAGGACTCATCTGTGTTTAGTGACTCTTGCTGTGCTGACTTCAAACCCACTGTGCTCCTTATGAGGCTGCCCTGAGTTCTAAAATAGATTTCGCTTTAAAAATCCTCTCAAGGCAGCATCCTCCTCTGTTGCTTGGTTGCTCCTCGATTGTGTAGCCAGAATAAAAGTCCATTTAGATCAGTGTTTTTTAAACACAGTCCTGCAAATTTTAGGTTTTTACCTTCTTCCACAAATCATTCTTTAGAAAAATGGGTGATTAACTGTAGCTACTGCATCACATGTATGGAGTGAATTTTGTTCCATTATTGTTGCAAGCAAAAAAAAACCAACACATTTTGTAAAGAGGCTGAAAAAGAAAACACATTATGTAAATAAAAATTTGAGTAAAATGCAGTTCAGAAATAATACTTTGAAAAGCATTTTAATAAAAAAAAAAAGTGTTTTTCTTTTATAGATTTTTATTTTCAAATGTTATTTTTTTTCATGTTTTTTATTTTTTTGTTTAAATAAAAGTTTACACATTTTCTATTTTCTATTTTTTTTCCAAGTTTCTCTTTTTCAGATTTACAAAATATCTTCTTTCTTAATGGTGTTTTGCAGGTCACATCCTCTTCACTTCAAGCCCATTACAAACATATATAAAATGTGTCTTCGCTCCTGACTCCAGAGGAAATCCGGCATCCAAAAGTGAAGAAAAGGTGATCAGTTTAAAGTAATTTGAAAAAATTTAAATTGTAAAACCCAATTAAAAGACAGTTTTTAAAAATTATGAAAATTTGATTTAAAAAAATACATTGAAAAAATAAAATAAAAACTTTTATACAATTTTAGAAATATTAAGTGGAAAATAAATTCAAAACATATTTTTTTTATTTTTTTTTTATAAAAAATAAAGGCAGTTTCTCTAAAAAAAAAATGTGGATTAAAACTTTTTCAAAGTTTGATGGACTGAAAAATGTGTTTTCATCTTTCAAATTTTCCATTTACATAAAGTCTTCTTGGCTTGCAACAATAATGGAACAAAATTCACTCTATACTTTAATGGCTGCTGATGAATGATGCTGGAGCTGAGATACTTCTAAAACATGGAGGACAGTGGGTCCCCTAATGCAGAACCAGAAACAATACTGACAATAAATACTAAACAATACTTTTCAGGTTGTCAGTTTCCAGAATGTTTTTTTCTATACAAAATTTTTGAGACACAAATTTGGGGTTTTAATTATCTTTAACACCAAAATTATAAGAGAGCAAGCTAACATATTTCCTTCTTAGTATAATGAATTTATATATGAGTTTAACTTTCTAAAATAAGGAGCAAGAAATATAAACTTTTTCACTATATTCTGTTTTTTCAGACAAACATGTATAGAGTATCACAGTCTATAATAAATATATCATAAATAAATAAATAATAAATACAATTTTTCCTTTTGTATTTAATTTACTTTCCAAAGATATTCTAATTTATTATGCACCAATGACCTATTGTCCAGTTTGTTATGTTATTAGGCTTTACGCATTTTTGCCTTATATATAAACCTGTATCTTATTTTTTCATAATTGATTCAAACTTACCAAATAGATGATATTGAAAGCAATGATGGCGTATTTGCAGAAGGGCCTGGAAACATCCGCAGAAATGATAAAGTGCGACTTTATATTTGCAACAGGAGGCATTGTCCCGACACTAAACAGAAATCAGAAAATTAACTAATGTAAAATATAACTCAGGAGGGAGTCTTTTTCCGGTAAATCTCATGCTAATGTTATCAACATCTAAGTGAAAAACAAAACACAAAATCTCACTGGAAAAGCTCAAGTTGTGACAGAAATAGATGCACTCATATCACTGTGAGAAGTTATAGGTTCAGTTTTCTATTACAGGTGAGCTCTTTTTCTTCACTCTATAGTCAGATGACCCCGCCCCTCTGCTCCTATCCTGGCCCCTCATTGGTTGAGAGGTGTAGCTAATCAGCCAACCAGGGAGCTTGCAGGAGACCCACAGGTCAACTTTTAATAAGGTATTTAAATATGTTTTTGTAAAGTTTATATCATTGAACCTATTGGCCATATTTAATCCCTTTAACTAACTAACTCCCAGGAGTAAAACACATATATTGGAGTAAAAGACTTATTGGCTCAGCATAAAAGGCAATAGAGGTTATCCCACCCCTTATTAATATTTGATTACCCACAGGCTAACAACCAGAGCAGCCCCTAAATGTAGTTTTTTGGTTGTTTATCATCAGGCTGGTTAGAATAACTTAATTCTTTACTGTCAGTTTCTAACCAGGTGAGGCCAGGATCTGCAGATCCCACACATTCTGGACTGGACTTTTCCTCATTTTACAAAACATAATCACCACATGGATTTTTCTCTAAGCTTTCTTTTAAAAGAACACATTTTGCACCATTGCTCGTTTGCACCATTTTCTCCTGTCTTATTTGCTATATAATAAATAATGGATTGCACAAATATATAAAGAATGGTTTGTGCGCTGTTATCATGTGAAACCAAAGTATAATCCCTTTTTTTATTCACATACATTTAGTCAATAAAGCTTATTCTTATATTACTTTGATGTTATTGATTACTACTCAAGAGTCATGAACATTTCCTAAAGCAGAAAAACCTTATAGCTGCCTCACACACTCTCTTAACGTATTTTAACTCCCTTATAATTAAATCAGGAAGTTGTTTAGCCATGAAAATTTGCATTACTGTGATTTAATCTGTGAATTTCAGGTAGGAAATACATGCGAAATGTCCGATTGAGAGCCAGATTTGATCTGGTGATCAAAGGCCAACTATTTTATAAATACAAAGATAAAACAATTTTTAAAACTTTAAAACAAACACTGCTAAAAATAACTAAATAAAAACTCAGGTGTAGAATGTTTAGAGGCTTTAATCCCATTTGAACTGGACTAAAATCATTTCATTGCTGTTTTAATCCATTTTATTTCATTTCATGCCTTTTCCAAATGTAAAAACATTAGAATAAAACAAAACTATTATATGGTAGACCATGGTACCAGGTCAAGATTAGTACATAGTTGATATTTAAACAAACTCATTCTTTATTATAGTAACTTTATTACATTTAAAGAACCATGTGGGTTATTGTCTTATTAACAAAATCCTGATATCAACACGGATGTTTATCAGATCGACACATGGCTGCTGACGACACAGATTCAAAGCTATTGTAAAGAGAGCATGGGTTATATTAATAAACACTTCCTGCTCCAACAGATGAATAAACCCCTTTTATACAAGCTGACAGTTTCTTTCTAACCACCAAACACAGAATAATGAGTTTACCTTTACTTTAGATGGAAGTTAATATTGAGAACTTTTTAGAAATGTTAGGTTTCAACAATTTAGGTAACTAGATTTAGTTTTGTGCTTGAACTTAAAAACTCTTTACAGCTCAGAACCATGTTTATACCCTACTTTTAAAATAAAATACTTTATATATACATATTAAGACTTTCACATTCAACATTTGGTATTTGACATGTCGTCTGGAAATGCTCCCAAGAAGAAGGTGATGCATATCCTGATCTTTGTGAAACGTGTTTTAATATTTTTGTTGAAAAGATCACAAAAGCTTGAGCTTCTATTTCCTGTTCTGTTCTGACCCATTAACCTCTGTTGCTAGCTCTGCTGTTTTTAACCAGTTGGAGACAGTGACTCTGGCTTCTCTCAAAATGATTGTTGGCTGTTTAAAGCCTGGTGGCTTTCCATACGGTTCTGTAACTCCTCTTTTTTTCAAGCAAGTGTATTGTTAACAGTAGTCTGACCTCTTATCTAAAGAACCTGCTCTTGATTCTTAAATTAATTCAAACTATAGGTTGATTTCTATGCTTCCCATCAGTTCTAAAATTCTTTTAAAGGTGCTTTATAATCAGCTGATGGCCTTTTTATAAGAGCATGATACTTTAAGGTTTCCAATCTGGTGTTAAATCTTTACACAGCTCTAAATCGGTTCTTTTAAGGGTTTTTAAATTATATTTTTAGCTACAGATTCTGGAGGGTGTGTGATTCTTGTTCTCTTGGACCTGACTGCTGATACAGAAGACCACAAAATATTACTCGCTCATTTGGAACAGTCGATCAGCATCAGTGATAAACAAACTGATTGGTTAAAATAATCAAAACTGAACCTTCTGTGTCTCCCTTGGTGATAATAAGGAATTATCTGTTCCCTTATTGTGTGGAGTACCACAGGGCTCAGTCTTAGGCCCTCTTCTTTTTGCCCTTTAACTACTTCCCTTTGGCTCAATGATGAGGAAGCATGGTTTATTTCCAGTTATGCTGATGATAGACAAATTTACATTTCTCTACGCAGGAAAGATGAGAACTCGATTAGCGTGCCTTTAGAAGGCCTTGAAGACTTAAAGGGTGGTCCTTCATTTCTTAAAATTAAATGAGAGTAAGACCAAGGTCATGATCTTTAGCTAAACATCTGATGCTCCCTCCACTGACCTAAGTTAACAAGCCCACAACAGGAAGTAAGTTATTACTAACCTTAAGGTTTCAAAATGGATGTTGCTTCTTCAATTAAGGCAGTTGGCCATAACAAAGTCCATCGTTCTCCGCCAGTCTGCTGTGAAGCATGCACTGTACCAGCACTGTTGTGAGGAAGAGAGTTGAGCCAAACAGCAAAGCTCTCCGGTAGATTTACTGGATCAATCTACGTTCCTACTTTCATCTATTGTCATGAGCTTTGGAACATGACCGAAAGAACGAGATCCCGGATAAAGCGGCTGAAATTAGTTTTTTCCATAGTGCATCTTGGCTCTCCCTTAGAGATAGGGTGAGGAGCTCAGCCATCCGGGAAGGACTCAGATTAGAGCTGCTACTCCTCCACATCGAGAGGAGCCAGTTGAGGTGGCTCGGGCATCTGCTTAGGATGCCTCCATGATGAGGTCTTAGGGGCACGGCCAACCGGAAGGAGGCCCAGGACATGCTGGAGGGACTATGTCTCTCAGCTGGCCTGGGAACGCCTTTGGATTCCCCTGGAGGAGCTGGCCCAAGTGGCTGGGGAGAGGGACGTCTGGGCCTCCCTACTGAAGCTGCTCCCCGGATAAGTGGAAGATGGATGGATGAATTGTTCTTATCTAGATCCTCTGAATATGAGTTTGTCTGCTTTTGTTGACTGTGCAGCACTTTGGTCTCTGGGGAATTGCTTTATAAATAAAGTTGGAATGGATCTCCTCCCTCTCTCTCAGTCCCACTTATCCTCCAACTTATTCCTTCAGCAGTGTCAAGACCCCAGGCGGAAGAATACTTATATTAGTTTCCTAGGTTACTCATCCAAGTGAATGTCAATTCACAGCATCAATCATCTGCCGGGTCCCAGCACCAAATAACTTATTTAATTCATGTGTGTCAATGTTAATCTGTCCAGGTTGAAATAATGCTGTCTTTGGATATTTTACAAGTAAATATCAGTGATACTCTGCGTTTGTAAATACAGTAAAAATAGGTTTTCCATCTAAACTGTTGCTTATTTCCTATTAAACGAAGCTATTTAAACCAGCTGATGAAATCAGTAAAATCCTTGTTTATTATTACTACTTTCCTTTATGTTTGCAGGAACATTGGGGTTAAAGGGAAAAAATGACACGTTCACATATTATTTTTTTAGATGTTTTATGGAAACATGCACAGCAATAAACCTTTAAGAGAAAAACAAACTGTAACGTAAAACAATGCAATAATCTGGGCTACATGTGAAGAAAAATAAGGCATTTAGATTCTAAACAATTTTTTCCAATATATAAAAAAAAATCCTATACCAAGGCAACAGTTTTGATCTACAGCTTTAAAACAAATAATTGTTTAAAACAAACACATTTTTATCATAAGCTGCTGACACAAAAAACTTTTTTATTTGGTACTCAAAGACTTTATTTTACATCATGGCTAATCTGGTGGTCCTTAAAACACTAGTCAAAAAATAAAAAATAAAAAAAGCAAGTTTAACATAATAAAAAAAAATCTATCTCTGTACCTTTAAACCTCTAGAAATATATAAAAGTTTTAATGTTAAAAAGTGAATAAATCTACAATGATTCGAGCATTGCACGTGAAAAAAAGCGTCATTACAGTGATTGAAGCACAGAAACAAGATACAGTAAAAGAAATGTTCAAACTTTTTTTTTTTTATTTCACCAAAATACAATCAAAGCTTCTAAAAGCTTGACTTTATGAAATGATCCCTTTATTTTCCTTTTACATTTCTGACAGCGATGTTCATCAGTGTTCCAGTGTGGAGCAAACAAAAATCAGCCACTTAAAATCTGTGATCACGGAACATAAAGAATCGAGCTAACATGTAGCGTCGTAGCATGCATTCTTGGTTTTACAAAAAGGCTCAGTGTGGTTTTGCTACTAGATTTTGCAGCTAAATCGTTGTGTTTGTTTTGCATTGTCGGATTACCAGGCTCGGGTATTTGCAGGCCTGTTTCTGCTGATTCGGGGTATCTTCTAAGTTGGTGAATCTAGTGCTGTACGACACTTTCAGCAAACTGGCTCCAGGAGCTGTAGTCGGTAGTTCACACAAACACGGGAAAAAGCTGTAAACACTGATCTGCTGGTTGAGTTTCCAGCGATGGTAGCTGAAGATGAGGCGGAGGCGGCTGAGGGCCCAACCCTTACCAGTCCTCCTGTTCTTAGTACACAGAGGAATAGTAAGCCGTTATCTCCTGATGCTCTTTCTTGATCTGTTTCAGGAGAACAGCGGCGCAGACCAGGGCAGTAATCTGTCATGCAGACACAGAAGGAGGGAAATAAAGAGCAGAATAAGGGACAGAGGCCCCACTCAGACCTGGCATTAACATCCATCCTGGCTGTTCTGATCATCATTTGATCAGCTCTAAACACACTCAACACCGTCTGAGCTCTTTGCAACTTCTCTTTGCATCAATCAAGTGATGTAATCTGTCCGCTGCAGAGCGTATGAGAAAAGCAGCTAAATGAGATCTTATTGTTCAGGATAGATTTTGATGCCAGGCTGCGATCTACCTGCTTCCACCTCTACAGCAGATCAACATTCAAAACAGACCCATGAAGACAGAAAGACAGGATGTTTCCCATTATTTGCTGATGATTTGCACACAAGCCAAAAATAGAGCATATATGACACTGAATAGGAGTGATTTCTATGACTAAAAGCATCTGAAGGAGAAAATCCAACCTGAATAGATCATAAAAGGGAGCAACCTTTTAGTGTTTAATGGGGGTAAAATAACGGACATTATCCCTTTTTGGATTTCAAGGATGAACCCAGTTCTGTTCAGAGGTTTACGTCCAATCCTCATCGTGGCCATGAATGTTGCACTGATGTAAAGCTTTTACAGATTTAGTTAAACCCCTCAGTTCTGATAATAATGATAAATATTTTTTTTCTAAAAGAACTAGACCCAGAAGTTGAAATTAAAGGGAATATTTTTCTAATTCAAGCAGGTGAAAAATAATTCCACTTTTATCTTGTCCTTCAAAGGTTGCTTTGAAGCTATCTTTCTGATAGCCTATCAGACTGACTTCAAGGTCAGCAATGAAACAATAGAATCCTTGTTTTATCAGAAATGATAGCCGTTTGGCTTCTTCCTATAGGCAGAGCTGCCTCTTTCTGGTTATTCTGGTTCCTGGACATTTCCGGGTCATCCTTAGCTGTCCGGTATGAAAGGCAAAGTTAAAGCATCTAGGATGGCCATGACCTCGACAGCTTTAATTTGAATTTTATTTCAATTTAACTGAATCTAAGAACCAGGTCCAGACAGAATGAGGACAGATGCTAGGAGCTTGTTTACGACTAAAAAATATCTGTTTCTTGTAGACGAGTTAAAGGACAACTACCTAAATCTGCTATTTGTATGCAAACATGTAACAATTAAAATTGAAAAAGAAATTCAGATAAACTCAAACTTCTTTATCTAGTTCTTGTTTTGAAGTTCTATACTATAATCTGCAATTCAGAAATCCTAAATTGTTTGTATAGTCATGACCAAGGTGGATGTACGTAAACATCTGACAGGATGGTGGTGCACTGATGTCACCAAACTGTTATAAGATCTTGGTGACTTCCCCAAACTGGGAGGGTTTTTTTTTTGTTTTTTTTAACTTGGGGGATTTTTCCTTCTGAAGAGCTAAAAGATGAAGTGTGATCAGGTTGAGTGAAGTAACGTTTTCTCAGATCATATCATTGTGAATAAACATGAAACCCCAAAAAGTGACCCTGAAGTTTAAAGAGACGACTTTTAGGCCTGAGCCAAGGGAAGGTTGATGGTAGGCAGGGGTGTGAAGACGACTGGGTCCTGATCAGGGAAGGAGTTGATGGAGTTGGTGACGTGCTGAGGGTATGGCTGAGGATATAGCTGAGGGGCAGCCAGGGAGGGAGTGTTGGTACTCAGGATAATGTACTGAGGAGATGAGGAGACCCGCCGAATCTGTGAACTGAGCACTCCGCTGCAAATCATAGCTACGGTCTTTTGGAAGCAATGATGGAAAAAAATAAAATGAAAAAACAAAAGTGGGAGGGGGTGGGGGGAGACAGATGATCAAACTTAAGAACATGAGCAGAACTCAAACAGAAGCTTGTGAACAGTCTGTTTTTCTCTCTTATCCCCGTTTCCCCTCAGATCTACCATTATATTTTACATTGATGTAACCTTCCTATTTGCGTAGAAATGTAACTTTATCTGTTACCCTATTTCAAATGAATCTTCATCACTTGCTTTTAGACTAACAAATGTGCAGAACGTTGCCTACCAGAAGAGCTCCAGTTCCAACGAATATGCCCATCACCAGCGGCGCTCTGCTTTCAAACACGTTCACAATGGTCAGAGGACAGTTCTGTGGGAGAACAGAAGCAGAGAGCTGTTAATCGACAGTTCTGGACCTGGACTAAATGCATCAGTAGAAAACTTAATCGCAGTTCAGAATAACACATTTTAAATAAGCATTAGAGACTCTTCCTTTTTTAAAGCCAACATTCATTTGTTGCAACTACAGTCAACATGAAAACTTACGATGAATCTAAGGTGGGGTGTTTTCTAGAGGTGAGACATTTAAGTCAGTCATCAATGACTCCCCCTGTTTCTCTAGGCTTTAAGTAGAATATTATATACACCATTTCTCAGAATAATAAAAAAAAACATGTGATCCGATTAGGTCAGATGTGTTGAACTTTCCTGAGCCTGAAAGCTTTACAGCAAACAGACTCATTTCAAACTTCCCAATATTCATAGTAAAAGAAATACAGTAGCCTGTAAACTTAGTAAAAAGAAAACCAAACAACCCCACAGCATGATTCTTCTACCACCATGTTTCACGACCAGAATGTTCCGTTTTGGTCTCATTTGACGAGACCACCTTCTGTTTGATGGGTCCCATTTGTCGGGTCGCACATTGTTTGGTACCAGGCGCAGGAATGCAGAAACAAAAAAGAACAGCGGTTTTCCAAAGATGAAAATTCTAGCTGGAAATTAAATGTGGGAGCTGAGATGGAGGAGTGATGGTCTGGGCTCAAACACAGAAGTGTGGATCCTGTTTTACCCTATGAAGAACTATGCACTCATTTTTTCTTGTCTAACACTTCCAATCTAAATAAAATTCAAATTCTTGGTTGGAGCATCATAAGATTGCTTTGCAGGGTTACAGTGGCGTTGGATGTTCTGACTTTCAGTGTCATTAAGTCCTTGGGCAAGACACTTCACCTGCATTGTCTACTGATGGTGGTCAGAGGGCCTGGTGGCGCCAGTGTACGGCAGCCCCGCTTCTGTCAGTGAGCCCCAGGGCAGCTGTGGCTACAATGTAGCTTGCCACCATCAGTGTGTGAGTGTGTGCGCAAATGGGCGAATGACTGAATGTAGTGTAAAGCGCTTTGGTCAAGTCTCCTGTCTTGAAAAAAGGCGCTATATAAGTACATGCCATTTACCATTTGCAAGGCACTGAACATCAAAACCCGGTTAATCATTGGATCTTAGCCATTAAAGTCGTAGGGAAGCGGCTGTTCCAACCGATACA